TGTCCGGGGGTTCACATTTTATGCTCGCTTGATTTGAGGCTGCTCATTCCAGATTGTGTATGTTACAGATAAATGTCAAAGATAACTTATCTTTCTTTATTGTTGGCTTGTTATTCTCCCTATTTCTTCTTTTTCTGCACTGGCATCTCCATCCTGTAGCTGTGTAAGTTCCTGCATCAGCATGAATAGAATAAAACTGATGGTAACTGAACCAGATCGATGGCTTTCAAGTTGCTCCCTGTGCCGCCAAGAGCTGCACTGGCCAGAGGAGGCCAGAATTTCTTCTGGCCGTTGTGTGGGGCGGTTGGTGTCAAGGGCTTTCTCAGCAGTTTCCTGCCTTGTCTGTATGCAGCGTGTGTGGGAGACCTGTTTTCTTGAAAATTCTGATATATAGAATTCTATATAAGTTATACAACTTGAAGTTGTAAGGCAGAAGATAATTTGGAAAGATCTCAATAGATTACTTACCGTGTCAGGCATGTTTTTCAGGAGTCAAAGTAGTTTTGCTCAAATATTCACCATGAAGTGCTGTGTTACAAAATATATTTTCCTTTCAGAGAAAGAGGTGCTATTAAATGCTTTTAAGGTGCATGGGTACTGAGCAGTTAGCTACAAAAGGCCTTCCATTAAGATTTTGTAATGGCAGCAGATAATGCTGTGTACAGCTGCCATGTGGTTTCCAGACTTGAAATGCCTTTTTTTCCCCTTTGTTTTTGTTTTTGCCCCATTCTCCTGTGAGCTCAGTGAAAACTTCAGGTGACACAAAGGCTCACTGGTAAATTGTACAGAATATGTGCGTATTTCATGTTTAGGTTTGAATTGCAAGTGGATATTTGTTCTTTGAGGAAATGGCTCACCCTGTTGTTAATGGCAATTGACTTGTGTAATACTGTTCTGCTGTAATTTAAATAGTTATGCTTTAAATTCAGCAAAAACATAATACATGACTTGCCTCATTTATTTTAGGACTGGCATACCAGCATGAATGTTGTTTTGCAAACACAGTTACACTGTTTTTCTGTGGTTTTAGGGCTCACTCACATGTGTCTTAATTCTTGTGTTTAATGCAGGGTTCAGTGGTCTCAGTTTAAAGGCTATTTTATTTTCAAACTGGAGAAAGTAATGGATGATTTTAGAACCTCAGCTCCTGAACCAAGAGGGCCCCCCAATCCAAATGTGGAATATATTCCCTTTGAAGAGATGAAAGAAAGAATCCTGAAAATCGTCACTGGATTTAACGGGTATGTATAATTTGTTTTCTAAAATCAGGATAACAGAAATACTTTCCCAGTTTTTAACTTAGTAGTTTGTACTACCAGTCTGTGACTGTTCATCTTGCTTCCTCAAATAAATAAGCAGAAGCAAATGTATGCCTTGGAAATATATTACGGTAGTTTCAGAACTTACACTTCATTATTCTGTCTGTCAATGAAAATTACAACATCCTGTGACATGTCAGTCATTTCAGTTTTTTCAATTTGTAGTTAGCTTTTAAGTAATGCCCTTCAATGAAGCATGGTGTAACTATGTGCATTTAACAGGTAAAATAGTAGTAAAGTCAGATTTCTTTCAATATGTTTTGAAATACCTAATTGAAATAAGTCTTTTGGTGTTCAGTTCTTAATTGTTGTGGCAGTTCAGCAGCTTTTGAAGAAGTAATGCTGTGATAAACATGGTTTGAGCAGGAGGCAAGAAGTACCTGGTTTTGAATTATTAAATTGTGCCTGATTCAGATTTCTAGATGGTGGTACTGATTGAGAGACTTGGGGTGTTCGATCTATTGCTGACAGTGTCGTATATTAAAGTTTTAACCTTTGCTGATTTTGTAATTATGGAAGTTTTGTTTCCTTTAAAATAAAGCTCCTGATTTGTTTCCCTTATTTGATGTGTCTTTTTTAATAGCTTATAGTATTGTTGTTTCTAAACTGGATGATGTACTTACTGTAAGCTGAGCCATCTTGCTTGTGGGTCTCACTGCTTGCTTAAGAGAGACTTTTTCAGCATTTTTCGTGGCTTGTCAGTAAATGGGCATACTATGAAGCTTGTCTCCCTGTTACCTTGACGTTTTGGGTTTGGAGGTGCTACTGTCATGTCCTTAGTGTCACATTTTGATGCTAGGTTAATAATTTTTACTGTCATTGTTCCATACTACTTAATATATTTGCAGTTTAAGTGTCTCTTGTAAGTAAAATCTTACCTTACTCCTCGTATTGCTGTTGTGTAGGTTACTTACAAGAATGAAATTCAGCTTGTTCTCAGCTACCCACTATTTATACTGGGCTGCTTCACTGAAGGAATTTAAAAACAAACATATCCGTTATGTGCCAGTCTGTCTCTCTCCTGCCTCCCCCAGCTTTTTGTTAATGCTTCACTGCCCACAGAATTGGTCATGTTCTTGTATGGAGACATCTAATGAATGGGCTGCTGTTATCTGCCCTTGTTCCAAATGCACCAAACAAACCGCGGGGTGACCCAGTCTGGGGCTTGGCTGTGCTGTTTGGATCGAGCACTGTCACACTTGGGAGTGCTCAACTTCCTCATGCTTGGAAGTGAACCATCCAGTCTTTGAGGATGTAAACTGCGTACATCAGTGACCTTAAAGAAAACAATACATGAATGTCTCACAATCTAGGATTGTAGAATAGCTCATCTAGTAAACCCTGCAGCTCCTCCAGTGAGGGTGTGTTTGTGAAAGCTGAATCATGTGGAAACGGGGCCAAAAAGTAGCAGCAGCAGGTTTTGGTTTGTTTTTGATTGGGACTTTGTTTTCGATTGGGATATATTCAGGCTTCTTATTTAGAGTTGTGGGTGTCATTTCAGAGTACCATAGTAGAGGAGGAAGCTACTTGATGTGACTTTGTTATTAGGATGTTTTTAATAGTTTTGGTTTAAGAGAGTTATGGTAA